AGAAACACAGAGCTTATTTTAAAAAAGAGCTTAATGTATTTTTTATTTGTTTCTTAATTTTTTTTCTTAAAAGTGTATAATTATAATTTTTTACCACTGTACATAGTTTTAAATGTTCTGTCATAGTTTTAAGTGTTTTGTATATAGGTTTATTTGCTTTGTATATAGCTTATTTAACTAAAGTTTTCTTTATTTTTTTCTTTTTTGTTATTGTTTTTAATTAGGCTAGATGTAATATTTTAATTTTGTACTATATTGTTATTCTAAAGGGACTTTGTGCCAGAATAAAGTTATTTTCTATCTATTTACTTACAAGGAGAGGATACAGTATGTGGGTCACCGATTTCAATCAATTTTTTTTTTGGTTATACTACATAGAAAAATATTAGACAAGTGTCTCTTGCGTTCTTTCCAATGGGCCCTAGGAGCCAAAAAAATAATATTTTACATAATTTCAAACAAAATTTATTTTTCCTTTGCTTTGGAATCCCGGATTCTTAGGTCACTATATGTCAGTCGTTTTTGTTTTTGTGCAAAATAAGAAAAAAATATTAACTATCGTATTAAATGAGTTATAATGTAACCAAAAGAAAATTAGATTCCTTTTTATGGTCCTTTTAAACTCTTAAATATGAATTGCTATATAAATAAACAAATATAACCTTTAGTTCTTGATTTTATTGGATGAGTTTTTTTCTGCCTATCAACTAAAGTGTTCATAACTCCTCAGGATTTTCTTCAAATTCAACTTTAGTATAACCGTTGGAAATCTGAATTACTACATTTTCAACTGAAATGAATCACCATTGGATTTCATTTTTTTAAAACAAGAAATTAAGAAAAACTTCCAACTCATTTTTATTTCATATCTTTAGTTTTAATTTGTGTCGAAGATCGGGTTTATATCACTTCATGTAGCACACAGAGGCCTAAATCCCTATTAATTTTTGTGTGGATCAGTGAATCCATTCTAAAATTATCACAAGTTTTGTGGTTGTTGACGAAATTTCCAAGAGTCCACCAAAGAGTCCATCAAAAAATTTCGTGCAGAAAATTTTAATTTTTCGATTGCTATAAAAGTTCGTATTTAAGGGTTTTTTGAGCAAAAAATTAATATCAACTTTGTTTCTGAAATTATATAACGACTTTGTTAGTTTGAAATTATATCAAATATTGTTTCTCGCCATGGCCTGGTCCCAAGTCCAGGGTGAGAAAGGAGGAGAGTTAGGGGAGGGCCGACTACCCGTCCCTGTAAAAAGACTCAAGTTACTTCAGCTCAAAAACCAAGTCTCGGAAATCGGACTGTTTTATGGCAACGACTCTGAACTCGGATAAAGGAATATCGATTTGGAACATGGAATGTTCGGACCTTATTTAGACCAGGCACTCTCTCAGAATTGAAGGACCAGCTAATAAGGCATAAAATGGATATCACCACAATACAGAAGGTGAGATGGACTGGTAGCGGTAAACTAAGCAAGGAAGAGTTTGACTTCTTCTATAGTGGCAGCCAAGACAAACATGAATTCGGGACTGCATTTGTAGTATCGAAGCACATGAGATCTACGGTTTTGGACTTCCTACCCATTAGTAATAGGATATGTAAACTTAGGATCAAAGGGAGTAAGTGTAATATGACTATAATAAATGTACACGCCCCTACAGAGGAAAAAGATGATACAGAGAAAGAACAGTTTTATGATGAACTGGAATAGGATGCTTACCATCTTATGACATGAAAGTTATAATGGGTGACTTTAACGCTCAAGTTGGCAAAGAGGAAGTATTTTTACCAACAATAGGTAGAAATACCATGCACGACCGGACCAATGACAACGGGGAGCATTTGCCACAGCAAATTCCTTAGTTGTAATGAGCACAATTTTCTCCATAAGCAAGCACACAAAGGAACTTGGACTTCGCCAAATGGGGCCACAACTCAGATAGACCACGTTCTTGTCACCAGTAAGTACTTCAACAGTGTGCATGACGTCTGGACTTACCGAGGCCCCGATGTAGACTCAGACCATTTCTTGGTGGTTACCAAGATAACATGCCACATACATCAGACATATAGAAGAAAATATGACCAGAAGCACAGGTGGGACAAAGAAAAAATAAATAGAGCGAAGGTAAACAGTATTTTCCAAAACTAGATTGAAAGAGGGGTTGAGAATATACCAGCAAGTGAAGATGGCAGGAACGTGCAGGAAGAATGGAACAAACTTAAACAAGTAATAGAGGAAGCTGCCAATCAATGCTGCAAGAAAGATTATATATTGGGAGTTACTCCCACTTCCTGGTATGATCAGGAATGTGAAGAAGTTATAAAAATCAGGAATATTAAGAGAGCAAAATATCTGAACAGAGACACTCGTCAGAATCGCAGAGAATACCAAGAAGCAAGGAGCCATTCTAAGAAAGTGTTGAGACAGAAAAAAAGAAAAGCCTTTCAGGAAATAGTGAAAAACATTGAAGAGGCAAGGCTTAGGAATGAAACAAGAAAGTTCTTTCAGGACGTAAATACCGTCAAAGTCAGTTCTGTGAATGAGTCAGGTATGGTAAGAGATAAGAATGGAAAGCTTCTTGTTGCGGAGAACGAGTTACAGGGAAAGAGCACATCCAGGAGTTACTCAACCCTGCAGATGGAGAAATAGGAAACCGCAGAAGCATGCAATCAATAAGAGGGGAAGATATGGACTAAGTCATGCCACCTGATTCGGATGACATTGAAAATATTTTGGAAAAGCTCAGGAATAATAAGTCAGCGGGATCAGATAGGATTCCTGGGGAATTTGGGGGGAGTCGCCTTTCAGATGAAATTACTAAATTAGTAGCAAATATTTGGGAAATAGAAAACTACCGAAAGAATGGAAAGAGTCCCTCATTGTCCCAATATATAAGAGAAAAGGAGATGTAAGTGACTGCAGAAATTACAGAGGTATCAGCTTACTTAATTCTGCATATAAAGTATTCTCTATTGCTCTGTGTAATCGCATTATGCCATACATGGAGAGACAGCTTGGAGACTACCAGGGTGGCTTTAGGACAAATTGATCAAATTTTTGCCCTTAGACAGAGCATGAAAAAAATGAAAGAGTATAATAACTCCATGTGGATGCTCTTCATTGATTTTAAGGCGGCCTACGACACGGTGATTAGAGAGGAGCTTTGTTATGCAATGTATGAATTGGGCATACCAGCAAAGCTGATTCGTTTAACAATGGCTACCATGGAAGGTACTGTCAGTAGAGTTAAGGTATAAGGAAGAATTGGCGACTTCTTTGTAGTGTGTTCGGGCCTTAGGCAAGGTGACTCATTAGCCCCACTCCTCTTTAATATTGCCCTAGAGACCATCGAGAGAAGGGCAGAATTAAATAAAGGAGGAACAATATTCCACAGAATGACCCAAAATCTCGCGTATGCTGACGATGTGGTCATTGCGGGACGATCACTTCAAGAAGTGAAGAGTGCATTCAGTAGGTTGGAGAATGAGGCAGGGAAAATGGGGCTATGCATCAACGAAAGCAGAGCTAAGGTCCTTGTTTTAAGGAACAAAAAGCTTGTCCATCCACCACAGCATTATGTCTTAAGAAACCACACTTTTCAAGCTGTATCAAGCTTCACCTACCTCTGGTCCATAATTAACAACAGCAATAATAAAGAGGAGGAGATAGAAGCTAGAATAATGGCTGCCAACAGAACGTACTTTTCTCTAGCGAGCCTTCTGAAAAGTAGATTGTTTAGTCGTACAACGAAGTTTAGGATATACAGAATGATTATTCGGCCAGTTGCAACATATGCGTGTGAAACATGGACTCTAACAAAGACATCTGCTGAACAAATAGGTCGGTTTGAAAGGAAAATACTAAGACGGATAATAGGACCTAAACTGGAGGAAGGAGTTCTCCGCTTGATAGAAAACAAGGAGGTATACTCAATGTACGGTAATCTGTCTATCTCCCAATTCGCTCGAGTGCAACGAATGAAATGGTTAGGACATGTCCTGAGAATGGATGAAGCGAGGACAGCGAGAAGGCTTTATCATAAGAAGCCAGAGGGAGTTAGGTCTAGGGGAAGACCGAAGGCAAGATGGATAGATAACGTTAAAGAAGATTTGAGAAAAAACGGCATATCCATCAGGTGCGCAGCCAACAGGGATGACTGGGCAAAGGAGATTGAGCAGGCCAAGGACCGCTACATGCGTCTGTTGTGCCAGTAATGAATGAATTGTTTCTCGGCTCCTAGAGCCCATTGGAAAGAATGACGGGACACGTGTCTAATATTATTCAATGTATCATAAAAAAAAAAACTTGGTTGAAATTGATGACCCACAGACTATATCCTGTCCTTGTTAATGAAATGCAGTCTCATTAATTCAGCTTTACCTAAATCATAAATATAAACATCAAATAGTAATTTAATAAATAATTATAAAATATAGAGATTAATTAATCAAAATTAGCAAGGTGATGTTTACTTAAATAAATATATAAAAAATATAATTCAAATTTCAAGATTTTTCATGTTTCCCAACTATGACATAGGTCTCTAAAAAAATGCATTTTTTCAGTTTAAAACTTTTAATTTGTTTATTATTTCACACCTTTGGATCACTAGAATAAAAGATAGTAGCACTTCCCAAAATTTAAAATTTGTATTTCTGATTAGTTTCTGAAGTTAAACTGCTTTTGGAGAAAAAAAGATGCCTAATAAAATAATTCTCACAGTAAAACAGCATGTCCTAATTTAAGTCTTATAATATCATTGTTGTAATTTAAGACTTAAAATGCTTTTAATATTTGAAGAGTTTGAATTTATAACTTGAAATCAACAAGTTGTTTCAGTAAACAAATATATTTAGACCCAGAATAAGTGATGATTTTACCAACAGGCCAAAAATTCACAGAAAGAAAACTGAAATTTAAAAAAGTTCAGATAATTCAGCCCACTGTTTATAATAACTGATTATTTGATATTAGCATATACTAATACTTTACCTGATCCGGTGATATAGAACTATCACCACTAGCATTTCTCTCTTGGTTTGAAGCAGATTTTTCTGTCTTACAAGCACTATGGTAATCACTTTTTGCTTTATTAACTTTAGCTAAGAGTTTTGCCCAAGGTTTTTGGGCTTTTTTAAAGGCATCTTCAATTTCCTTTCTTTCTTTAATTTGCATCATCGACTAAAACATCAAACATATTTTGATATTATTTGGTATGTTATATAAAAACTTGTAGTTAAATAAGTATAGAAGAAGAAGAAAGGTAAATTTTATTGTGGGACATTTAGTCCCCTAAGAATAATCCTCACTATGTTTTTTTTTTACAATTTAGGATAGACTACTATTCTTTTTTATTTATTACCATATAATTATTAGTAATTATTTAAACATTTTTAGATAGATGTGTATGTATGTATGTATATATATATATATATACCTGCAGTTCCATTGACCCCCATACTCGTGGGAACCAAAATGTCCATTTCTAAAAACAAAAATAAAAACAGTAAATCGTCGGTATCCGAGGTGGACTTGTCCTCCGAGGAGCTTTTAAACTTATCAGAGGTTACCTCAGATAAGATTGATGAAACTCTGGTAGGGGAACTACTCAAAACCCTAACAGAGGATGTTGGAACACTCCATGTCCAAACAGACCTAAAGGAGAAGGAATTGATGGAGGTGGCTTGTGCAATGGTGCAGGCCCCGGAAGAGAAGATGGACGTGGAAGAATGTAACAAGCCAGAAATGGTTAGAAGCCGATCACATTCTGGACTCGACCACACGGAGTGTGGGGACCACGAGTCGGAAGACTCGAGGCCTGCCACGTGGAGGAAGATAAGGAGGAGGGCAAAGGCCCAACAACTATTAAGCCCAGAAGAAGAGAAAAGGCCACCTTTAGAGAAATCTGCCGAGGAAGCAAGGGCCCCAAAAGGCCTGGCGGACAAGGCAGAGAGTCGTGAAAGGGAGGCCTTAGATCAAGGGCAAACATCTAGCGAATTGGAGCCTACTCAAAGGCAGGCAGTGGAGGATGCAAGGGCCCCAAAAGGCCTGGCAAACGAAGCTGCCGCGCCGGAGGGTAAAGCTCCAATAACACAGACAGGGGATGAGAAGGACGCACCCAAGAGGCCAGCATCTAAGTTTGCGAGGCCACGTAGGCCAGCAGCTAAGAGTGCGAGGCCTTAAAGGTTGAGGTCTAGATCAAGACTGCCTGTGGAAAAAAGAGCCAGGAAATCCTTAGGAGCCTCGTCTATGGAAGCTAAGAAACCGAGTGAGGCTGAAAGGCCTAGAAACTACGCAAAGGTTGCACAAGGACAGTTGGTCGCGGTAGTTCCTGTCGACTACCCGCAGATCCAGCTTACCTATGACCAATGCGAAGATCTTAAGGAAGCAATCGCCAGTAAGATTGACGAACTCACAATAGGGGGAGACATACATCCAAAGTTCGATGGGGCGCTTTTTAAGCTCGGAGGATGTCTTGTATCCTGCCTAGACAGCCATACGGTGGAATGGTTTAAAAGCATAACACTGAGCATCACAATTAAGGAAGGATTAACCCTACGAACTTGTGAAGCAGGTGATCTAACCAAAATTATCAGGATTGGAGCCTTCTTTCCAGGAAAGGCCCTACCTGCTGATTATTATTTAAACCGGCTCCAGATTCAAAACCAATCTATTACTGGGATCAAAACCTGGACCGTGTTTAACTTCAAGGCTCTGGAAAGAGGATCCTTTGGAGTATTTAACATACCGGAGACCAGCCTCCAGAGGCCTGCTGTGGGATATATGTTATCACCTTCAGGTTCTTGGCATCAGGAAGTAAACCTGCTCCGGAGGAAATGAAAGAGGAGGCGCCGAAAGCAGGCACATCAAAGGAGAGGGAGAACAAGGAATCTTCCTCTTCGGGAAGGAGTGCGTCGAGGACGGGGTCGAGGCCGTCGGCCGGGTCAGGAGGCGGGGCTAAGCCAAAGGAACCAGTGAAAACTGGTTACAGAGGCGAACCCCAGCCACTGTCGCGGTCTGGTGGCCAGACCTCTGTCTCGCAGCACTCATCTAACACTGGTGGGGGTTCGAAAGCGAGGTCGAGAGGCGGGGAGAAACCTAAAGACAAAGTGAAAACTGAGTCTGATGGAGGAACCCTACCATCGGCCCTGTCTGGAAAACCACCTTCCAGAAAATAAACAATCAATAAAAATATATGAAACTGCTGCAGATCAACATCCACCACTGCATTGCGGCAAGTGGAGTGTTGCAACAGTATATAAAAGGTAATGATATTGATATAATATTAATTCTTGAACCTTACCTATATGAAGGCAGGATCAAAGGACTTAATATGCATGGGTATGAAATAATATCTGCACCCACATATTCTAGAGCCAGCCTTCTTTTTAAAAACAAACTAAAACTGCTGCCTCTATGGCAATTCTGTTCTAGAGATCTTGCAGCAGCTAAATATACCCAATAAGGGTATAACAGATCATTAATCATAGCGGCGGTTTATCTGCCATATGAATATCCAGAACCTGCAGAAGGAATGGATGAATTACTAAAGAGCAAGGAGGAAATTGTGGCTGCCCTGGATGCTAATGCACACAACGAAATCTGGGGAAGCACAAACACCAACTCAAGAGGTGAGAAACTCTTAGAGACTATTATTAAATATGATCTTGATATTCTGAACAGGGGGAATAAGCTTACCTTTTGTAATAGAATTAGGACTGAGATCATAGACATAACACTAGCGACTCGATTGACTAGTGTCCTTATAGATAACTGGCATGTCTCTGATGAAGAAACATGCTCGGATCACAGGTATATCAGATTCGATATATCTGACAGAATACAACATGATGTGGAATATAGAGACCCCAAACTGGGTGTCCTATAGTTCTAACTTGGAGGAGGCTGTCAAATGCTGTCCCAAAGTTATCCACAATACATGGCAATTAGAAATATTAAATATTTCAATTACTGATGCTATGACTAGAGCATATCTGGCCAGTAATGAAGCCAAAAAAACTACAACCAACAGGAAAGTGTCCTGGTGGAATGATAGTCTAACAAAGCAAAGAACACTCATGAGGAGACTGTTCAATGCTTCTAAAAAATCTGGCAATTGGGATACCTATAGGAAATCTCTTACTGAGTATCACAAATCTGTCAGGAAAGCCAAAAGACAAGCCTGGAAAAGATTTTGTCTGGAGGTGGACAACATGCCGGCGGTATGTAAGGTAAACAAAATACTGTCAAAACAAACCAATACAAGTATAATGGGAACACTCAAATATGACGATAAGCACACCACGAATGAGATGGAAACATTGAGTGTGGTAGCAAAAGCTCATTTCCCATATTGTTTTACGACAATAAATGAACTTCTTGACCCCAATACACAGGATCGTGGTACTGGTGCACGTATGTGGGGTCTTGCAAGAAGAGTGATAACAAACAGTAGACTTGAATGGGCAGTGAATTAATTCTCTCCTTTCAAATCTGCTGGAACTGACGAGATCTTTCCCGCACTGCTGCAGAAGGGTCTCCCAGAGATAAGGCCATACCTTCTGGAACTTCTAAGAGGTAGCCTAACATTGGGATATCTACCATGTAAATGGAGGATATCCAAAGTGCGATACATTCCTAAACCAGGAAAGGAATCTTATGAAGACCCCAAGGCATTTAGGCCAATATGTCTGTCATCTTTCTTAATGAAGACATTGGAAAAGATACTGGACAGACATATTAGGGAACACATATTGGCTACTAGTCCAATACATTCAAAGCAATATGCCTACCAACCAGAAAAATCCTGTGAGGTGGCGCTTCATAACTTGGTAACAAGAATAGAGAAATCCTTAGAACTGTGGATTAAACCCTGTGGTGGATGTCCACAGGGAGGTGTGCTCTCTCCGCTACTGTGGTGTTTTTTGGCTGACTCATTATTGGAAGCCTTAAACACTGCAGGCATTTATGCTCAGGGATATGCTGACGATATTGCCTTCCTCATAGGAGGGAGGCATCAGAGTGTCCTCTCTGATATCCTCAGTACTGTGTCTAATATTCTTAGGAATTGGTGCAGGATTAAAGGACTAAGCATCAACCCTAGGAAAATCAATGTGTGTATCTTCACTAAGAAGAAGAAGGTGGCTATTAAAATGCCGGAAATTAATGGTATCCAACTGACACTGAGTAAGGAAGTAAAACACCTTGGAGTCACTTTGGACCATAAACTGTCATGGACTAAACACGTTCAAAACGTGACAAGTAAATCCCTCAAATGCCTATGGGCCTGTAAAAGAGCGATAGGAAAGAATTGGGGACTAAAACCAAAAATGGTATAATGGCTGTACACAACGACAGTCAGACCTATCATACTTTACTCAGCTTTGCTATGGTGGCACAAAGCAATGACTGTGGCCAACTTATCCTTATTAGGAAAGACTCAAAGGCTTGCTTGTATAATGATAACAGGCGCGATGAGCACGACACCGACGGCTGCCATGGAGGTGATGCTGGGCATGCCTCCGCTGCAGCTGGAGGTGGAGGCTCGGGCAACAAATACATTGTACAGGTTAAGCAAGTCAACTTACTGTTCAACAGTCCCCTGTCAGGGAGGACACACAATACTGCTGAACAGGATTGGATGTGAAGGAGTACTAGCTATGCACTCTGACACTCTAATCCGAGAATATCAGGACCAAAATATAAGGTTGGGATAGATAGCAGCAGAAGTCATAAACCAAATAGTGAAATAAATTGCTATACAGATGGCTCTCTAACAGCCTTCGGCTCTGGAGCAGGCATCTATCGCAAAGATATAAAAGAAAAAATTTCTATACCACTTGGCAGGTATGCTTCAGTGTTTCAATCTGAGATACTGGCAATCTGCCACTGTGTACAAAACCTACTGCAAACCAATGTGACTGAGAAAAAGATTACCATCTATACTGACAGTCAGGCAGCAATAGGTGCTCTCGACAACTATTATGTTTATTCAAAGGTCGTTAAGGAATGCAATAGAGCACTTAACGAGCTAACTGAGCACAACAGAGTTGCAGTGGAGTGGGTGCCAGGTCACTCTGGCATACCAGGCAACGAGGTGGCTGATGAGCTAGCCAGATTGGGCTCAGATACCATTCCTGTAACTCCCGAGCCTGTCTGTGGAATCAGCCTCAGCACTGCCA